CTATAAATGGTGTTTGAGTGTTGATTAAGAGTACCTTTGATCATTTACTTATTATCATGCTCACATCCAAGCAATTCTCCACCACTGAAATAATGTCTTGATATGACACATGCGCACTGACACTACCTTCCACTATTTATCTATTGTAGTTAGTAGCTTCAGAAACTGTGAAGCACACTATATCCCTGCAGATATTGAAAAATGATATCAAATGTATTTTCATCAAATATGCGGCATAAGAGTGACAATGGAATTTACTATGTTGATTGTATACAGATGATATTCAAGTTTGTCCTAATAGGTACTTCAGCATTCAGATTAGGAGGAAGATGCATAATGTTTTGTCTAACATCAGATTCACTGAAATTACTTATGCTCATGCTCTGCAATGTAATCAAAGAAAGGGAAATGAGAAAAGCCAAGTATGGTTTTGCAATAAACCAAGACACGCAAACGAAACTCGTTGGAAGATACATGAAAAACCAACAAATTGGAAGAACAATCGAGTTCAGAGCTTGTAAGATAACTAAAAAAAGAATATTAACATCAAAAATGACATTTTTCAAAATTATAGTAAAAAATAATAATTCAAAATTAACAATTCAAAATTACAGCAGTCACAAATACAGAAAGGAGGAGGAAGAAGACGGGGCTGTGGTCTGGGAGCAGCGAGGAGGAGGGGAAGAGGGAGAAGGGGTCTGCGAAGGGGGTTGCGACGAGGCGAGGGGGGGGGGGGCGACTGCGATGAACAGGGGGAGGAGGGAGGAGGAAGGAGAAGGGAGGGGAGGATGGTATCGAGGAAGAAAAACAAAGAAAAATTGGGGGAAGCGGGAAGAGGGAAGAGGGAAGAGGGAGGAAGGAGGAGGAGGATGGTGTCGGGGAAGGCAGCGAGCTTGCGACGAAAGGGGGAGAGGGAGGAGCGATAGGGGAAGGGGGGCTGCGACGAAGGGAGGGGGGTGGCGCGCGTGGGGCATGGTGGGGGCGGGGCTGCGATGAACAGATGGGAAAGAGGGAGGAGAAGGGAGTTTGCGATGGCGAAGGAGGAAGAGAAAGAGAGATACCGGGAGGGCAAGACGCCACCGCCACTGTCGCTGTTTCCCGATGGAGAGGAAGGCAGCCGTTGTTCACCGAGGAGACGCCGCAGTCGCCGAAGAAAAACAGACACTTTGGCGGTCGCGGCGATTAGGGCAGCGGTGGAGCCGCGGGGGTTTGGGAGGGGTTCGAGTGTGACTCGGGTTCGATCCGGAATTTAATCATTCGGCCGCCGGACGCGTCGAACCGCCTCCGGCTGAATTCATGGGGCCCACCCCACTTATCGGATGCCCACGTAACAAAATAATCGATGCCATACAAAGATTGAAAAGTCAGATAAAATTATTTTGGAAGCCAAAATGACTAATGCTTCAACATGTAAAATGAAACCACAGTTTTGCAATGACTGCTGAGGCACATATGGACCACCGTCTCATAAGAAAGAAATGAAAAGGAGATAAAACGGAGAAGAAAATCTATCAATGTATTATTTATTATCTTAGGTTTGTGTTGATACTACGGGAATGATGTTCTCATACTAATTTTTTCTGTCTTATTATGCTTATATTTCAATTAAGACTTCTTAATATGATTAATCATATTATTTCATGTGACAATGGCTCCTCATCGCCACTTGATTATACCAATAGAACCTTCAACAAAAACTTAGATGAGTGACATAAGAGGTTGAGAAATGATGAGTATTCGATGAATGAAAGTCCTCACACAATTAAATTTCTATCAATTTATAGGGCTTAGATTATAATTTTAATACCAACATGACATCCATAATTCTATCCTTATTCATACGATATATCATACTTTATTTAAATAGATCAAAAACGTTTAAATGATAGTTCAGCTATCAAGATTTCACATATTACAATAAAATTAATAATAACGTAATCAACGTCAATTAAACATGATTGAGGCCAAGTTGACATGAATCAATTCGTCAACTATGATAGAAATATAATATAAGAACTTGAGAATATTTTGATTATCTTTCTGAACTAATGACTTGTACCCATTTACATCGATATAAAAGATTTGATTTCGTTTGTAGCATGAAAAACATTAGAGAAAACGAATCTCAAAATCAACATGGATGTTATACTCTAAGAGGTTCCTTCTTCGATAGTTACGGAGAATTCAAATTTTCATAAATTTAAGATGATTCAATAGTACAATCAGTACGCAATCGGGGGATTGAGTTCAGAAAATGTTAATGTAAAGTTCATAAACTTTTGCTGTTAGATTTTAAATAACTAAACTTACAACATGTTTCAGAAGGTATAAATTATTTGGCAGACAATTGTATCCTTATAGGTGGCAAGATGGTGAACTAAGCAGACATTGGATCAAGGAAATCCATATCAATATGGGTCTTCCACGAGGCAATGGTGAACTAAGCAGACACTTCACACCAATTAACCTGACAGAGGCAAAGTTGACACTGATCAGCTGACAGAACTAGCTGGCTATGGTAGAAACATCTAAGTTTCCACCCACAGCTAACATTTTAGAATTTGAGCGGTGGTTAATCTATTCATAAAATTGCTTCGGATGGATGCTAATAGCCATCTTGGCCGGCTAACTTAGTCGCCCATATTTGAACATTAAGTTACCATAGTGCCTCCACCAAAGATTTTTAAGTTGATTCACGAGGGAAAACGAGTCATCCATTAGGAGCTAAGGGCACAAAGGCATTGGAAGTAGTCACCCAAGCCAAGCAACCTATGTCGAAGGTGATTTGTGAGGATGTTGTACATTTGTTGCAAAGCCTATGTCGAAGGTGATTCGCTTGGCAAATATGCAATAGCAAATTCCAAGCAAGATAAACTAAAGTGTCAGATACTTAGTTTTTATTGGTGTAGATGAACTTTTAACAAAAGCACATATTATGAAAGGGAATAATGAGAGACCTATTGCTAACATTAGAATTGTTATTTGCATTATATATAACTGCTGACGCTACGCATCATATGCCTCGCCGAGTTAGTGAAATGTAAAGGAAGTTTACGACTTTATGTATCCCAAGTAATGAAAACTTTTGTAGAAAAAAGATAGATAACTTATGGATGCATTCGAACAGGAGTAGTCTGTCATAACAACTTTCAAGTATCTTACTTAGATGATAATTTTATCAACCTTTCAGAAAGATAGACGTTTTTTATCAAGACCTAACGAAGAAGGAGAAAAGACAGAAGCAATTAATGATGTTGCAACTTAAGAGGTCCTTCCCATGATCAAACAAGTAAGTGCAAAGTACTCGAGAAATAATTTAATAAGATAATTATTTTTTCAAATTACTAAAGGTTGTTACTTGTGGTTTTCATAGACCTTTCTAATTAGAAGTTTTATGTTAAAAGGTCTTCAAGAAAAAGGTCTTCTTTGATGAACTCGAGATCCTCTCTGGTGAAATCTTATCTTAGCTATTTATTTAAAAAAAATAAAATAAAATAAATAATTATGTCATGAAACAAACAAATCATACCTGAGCATCATGATAAATATAAGAGAAGAAAAAAAAAAGACTTCAGGAAGGGACTTGCCAGCAAATTATTAATGCATAAAAGAGGATTTGTTGAAAAATAAACGAGGACATAAGCAGCAAATTTTCTGAAACTAATTTGGGTCAAAAACTAATGCAAAAAAAATGTGAGCTCCATTTGTTTTGTTCTTCTTGTCCAAAATATTCAGAATAGATATATTTTGTTTTTTTAGAACTTTTAAAAAGTATTTTACATTCTTCAGAATCATTACTAACTTATAATCAATAGTTGCTCCACAACTATCCGACAATCTCCTTTGTCCAATTTTCTCAGTCCTTCCTCTTAGAATCTTTAATTAAGTTAAAATTTTAGTAACTATACATATTACTAAAAAATAATAATGACACTTTTCCTTATTTTGAAGACACCAAAATGATAATACAACATTAGAAGAAAAAAAATGAAGTTTCATAACACAAACCAAGTTGTACGAAGCAAAAATTACATATACTATTCTCTTGACAAATTAAGAATTAATAATCTACATTTATATATTCTTTAAAAATATATATATATATTTTTATAATCTTTTAGAACTTCAGAAAAGAATTTTACACTCTTCAACATCATTGCCAGCTTATAATCAGTAGTCGCTCTACCACCATCCAACAATATTCTCTGTCCACTCTTTTGAATCTTTCCTCTTAGAATTTTTTATTAAATTAAAAATTTATCAACTAAACATATCACTAAAGAAAATAATGATACTGTTTTTTATTTTTAAGACACTAAAATGATAATACAACATTACATTTAAAAAAAAGCTCCATAACTAACGAACTGCAGATATATGCACATTTTATTACCTACCTGCTAATTGTTCTCTTAATACAATTAAACTGTTATTATATATAAAAAAAAAAACTAAAGATACAACCAACGTAGCTCAAATTAAATAATCTTTTTGAATTTGTGATATATGCTCAATTTGGTTGAGATGAATTCAAACATACACATAAATACCGGAGTGTGACAAAATGCATGGGTCTTACTAATTAAATGAAACCAAACGCAGGAGACATGTTGGGTCTATTAGATCGCATAAGCAAAATCGAACACTTGATTTAATTATATAACAATGCAGATGTGTATCAAATTTCTTATAGATATGTTGTTCAATGCGTTAAATTAAACTGTTAAAATCGACGTATTGCTCTATATTTTTTAATGTACGAGTCCGGATATGACAAGAACAAATATGTTATAGTCACATCCACATCAGTTGTTTCCTTTGAAGTATGTTCAGTCCAAGTGGCTCTTACATAATTCTTTGAGATGTCCCCATTCAAAAGGTTTCCTCACTAAATTAGATCACAATAATCTAAATGACTGCACAGTGACCAATTAACATGACCGAGGCCAAGTTGACACTGATCGATCAGCTGACAGAATTAGCTAAATAAGGTAGAAACAGAACACAAAAGCTTGATATTTCGGTTACACCTTTCTGTAGTAATCGACTTTCCCCCAAACCAATTTCTGAGACATCAGCATAAAAGAATCAGTACCTCTTGTTGCAGAAAAAATAAATAGAAGAAGAATCACCAAATCAACATGGAAGTTATACTCCAAGAAACTCTTGCAGAATTTAAATTGTCACAAATATAAAGTGATTAATTTGCAGTCAGCATGCAATAGGTCGACACTTTGTCTTAAGGAAGCACTTGCAATACTAGTTTTCCGCAACAACGTCATTCTTTCCCTGCACAGCAACAACATAGGACTCATATTGAGCAATAAATTTCTCCTCGCCTAGCAGGAAAAGGAATTTGTTTCTGAACTTCTCTTCAGGTAGCGTCACGACAGATGCCAGGTTATGTCCTCTATCCAGCAATTTATTCTGATCAAGAAAATTCATAACATCATATCGAGGTCTCAACCTCTTCTCCAAGCTATATGTAAGAAGCACGGGATGGCCAATGATATATGTCAGCTCACAACCAGCTTCCTTCATCAGGAATGTCATCTTGTCACATATGTTCTTCTTTGAGAGTGTCCAAATGGAGGTGCACTTCCCGATTAAAGCAATGATGTCAGGCTGGGACCACCCAAAGCTCATCAGAGTTACCGACATAGCATCAAACCTGGACCTGCTCACGGTAATGACCACATTAAGTGCTTTAGTGTATACTCCAGAGTCTCGTGGGACACCCAATTCATCAATATATTTGATAACTTCCTTTAATTTGTCTATTCTACCAAAACCGCCCGGCATTGTCACCACCATATGCGCGATCCGCTCATCACTGATGCCACGTTCCCTCAAGAGAGATATACTGGGTTCTATATTCCGAGCCAAGCTAGAAGTAAGAACAAACATGTTCCTCTTGCAGGCTTTCAGAAACCTCTCATTAGAACCAAGTAGTGATCTCCAGAAGTTGATCCTTGGTTGGATATCACTTAAACGGAGCAGAGTAGGACATGATGAAACCAGCCGAATTATTTCAGTGTCAGAAAATCCCATCTCCTGCAAAGATCGCATCCTGGGCTTCAGGATAGTCTCTACGTTAGCACGTAGAAACCTGGGTTCCCTCTGCATAAGCTTCATGACTTGTGCATCACTCCAACCACTCTGCTTAAAGAACTCAATGGAAGGACTTGAACTTGAAAGTTTTTTTTCACAGATGCTATCATCAGCCGTTTTTGCAGCCTCTTTTGAGGAAAGTTCACATGACTCAAGGGGGCCGACCAATGTAAAGTTGGATCTATGATTTGAACTGTTCTCTTTGGCAGTGGAAAAGCTAAACAGACTGCAGAGTTGATAGGAGGAAAGATGGACGTTGGACTTGTTACAAGAGAGAAGGCAAAAGAGCCTCTGCTGGACCGAAAACATTAGTCTTTTGAGGCAGTATCCCGTACTGTTTGCAGAAAAATACAAGAAAAGTAGTCTTATTTCTGCCCTCTCCAAGTCCAAATTCCTCTTCTACCTCGAATCAAGGATGTTGAAAACTTTCAACTAATCATCTGTCTCAGACAACATTCCTTTACCAATCATGTTAATCCACATGCATTTAGTCCCAATCAGCCATTTCTTTCAGAGATAAGTCTCTAAATGGTGTTTGAGAGTTGATAAAGAGTACCTATGATTAGTTACTTATTATCATGCTCACATCCGAGCAATTTTCCACCACTGAAATAATGGCATCAGACAACACCAGCGCACAGACAATATTCCACTTATTTTTCCATTGTAGTTGGTGGGTTTAGACACTACCAAGCATCCCATATCCCTGTAGCAATTTAAAAACCATATCAAATGTATCTTCATCGAAGATGCTGCATAAGAGTGGCAAAGGCACTTACCATGTTGATCGTATACAGACGATACTCATGTTTATACTTGTAGGTTGAACATCAATGACTTGCAAATGGTACTAAAGAATTCAGAATAACAGGAAGATGCATAATGTTTTCTCTAACATCAGATTCAGTAATGTCCTATAACTAAAACCTGGAACATTTCAAATGAGCACTTCCAGAATAATTGATCCATTTCATCAAGAATGTAGAGAGATGATCTAGTTATAAGTCTTGCAAAACTGGTAAGTAGAAAAGATACTGTTGAATTAATTAACAACAGTAAATTGTGAGGTTCAACATGCTAAAAAAGGCATTGATGATGAAGATGACCAACGTGACAAAAAAAAACAACATAGCTGGAAGACCAGAGAAAGGCAATAAATTTTCTGAAAAATGAACACAGAGATAAGAAAACTGCCTCAATCAAGTAATGCTACTAGTTTATTTGGTTCTATGCTGATAAAAGAACTTAATTTATGAGAAAGATTGCTCATGTAAATAACTTCAACTACAGTAAAAAAATTATATGTGGCATCAGCTACATATAATTAATGAAGAAAAAAAACCTAGATCAGTGAGGATTTGCCAATAAAACCAGCAAGTGCAAGCAACCACAATAATAACAAAAGCCATGATGTCCAAACTATTCATGATCAGCCATATGGATCTTCTGCATCATTGAACTCTGTGTAAGAAAATATCTGTAGTTAAAGTAAGAGAATTCAAATCTCTTTCTGTTGTTACTGGAAAAGGCCCCTTCAAATCACCAACTAAACCAGCAAATACAAGATTTGACCATTCAAATATAAGCAGGCCTGTGTGTTTTGAGGTACGAACAAGCCTCAAGTAGCAGAGATAGTTGCTTTCAGCACTACAGCAGAGAACACACTATGCTGACATAAAGGTGTAAGGTTATACCTGACCATATACATTGAGATTTTGGGTCTATTTTCGGGTTTGGAAATCAAGTCAAATTCTAGTTGTTTACTCAACTTGTCGTTTAGATTGAGTCGAGTCCTTTGTGTCATTTGGAGCTTTGTGTTGAAATTTTCTGATGTGCTTGAAAAGGAAACTGCAATGCAGTAAACATAATAAGAAAACTAAGAGGTTTGATGAACCAAACAATTCATCAAAATAAGCAGTTGCTGTTGAGAGAGCTTATTTTGGGAAACCTAGTCAGATTAGTATTATCTTAGGTATATTTTTAATTAAAATGCTTCACATGAGGAATAGTCAGACTTGTGCATGATTCTATTGACAAATAATTATGATTTTCTTTGGACAGTGACCCAATTATTGTCCCAGCTATCTCTTGTTCTATCTTTTCCGTGTGTTTTTCTTTTTCTCTAAGACTCCCTAATTCCCTTTGCTCTTTATAAAAGCAGCACTTCTCCTGCTGTCTATCTTAACAACAGTATTTAACTTGCATACTGTGACTTGCTATTTCTTTAAAGTAAATGCTCATGATATGCTGCTGACTGCTTGTTGGGAGGGTAGCGGGTAACTATCAGGGAGAAGGAAAGGGGAGGGGAAGATGTATAGAGAGGGCGAAGAGGGGTGTAGAGGAGGGAGATGGGGGCTGTCGGGGCCGGAGCAAGATAATGGAGAGGGGGCTGTCGGGTCCGGGGTAGGAAAACGGAGAGGGGACCGTTGGGATCGGAGTAGGAAAACAGGGGGCGGGGACTGTGATGAAGTGGAGGAGGGGGAGGGATCGGGGAAGAGGAGCGAGGGGCTGCGATGAACGGGTGAAAGAGAGATGAGGGAGGAGAAGGGAGGAGGAGGATGGTGTCAGGGAAGCGGGAGAGCTGGGACGAAAGGGGGAAGAGGGACGAGGAGGGAGGAGAAGGGATTGTGCGACAGCGAAGGAGTAGGAGTAAGAGAGGGATACCGGGCGCTGTACCGTTCGATGACGGAGAGGAAGCCGCAGCCTCCACCGTTCTCCGAGGAAAACCCCGCAGCGATAAGAGCTCGACGGAGGAAGATCCCGCCGCTGCTGCCGCCGTTCGAGAAGGAAAACGCCGAGTCGCGGTCGCGGTGGAGAAGGAGACACTTTCACCGCTGCGTTTAGGGCACGGGTGCGACTTTCAGAATGCCGTTCTCATCTGGTTCAATCGAATCAGATTTCCAAATTGACTTGACTCGGGCTCGACTAAGCCTTAATCATGCGGGCGCCTGGGCCGCACCATGATGAACTCGACCGCCCGGTGTAGTCAATTGCTTCCGCTATCGTGAAGAACTTTCGTCAACGTATCATTGACGAAGAAAAATTACTTTTTTTTTATTGAGAATCTAAATCAGTGAGAATTTGCTAATAAAAACAAACAAGTGCAAACAATAACAATAAAAACAAAAGCCATAATATCCGAACTATTTATGCTCTCTGTAAGAAAACATATTTAGTCAAATTTAAAGCATTCAATTCTCTTTCTATTGTTAGTAATACATTCTCCTTCGAGTCACTAACTAAACCAGCAAATATAAGATTTGATATTCTAAATATTGGTAGGACATTTTGTTTTGAGTTAAGAGCAAGTCTCAAATTATCGAGAGAGTGGCTTTTATCCATGTAAGGTTAAATCTAGCCTAAGTAAATTGATTTCAATTCCGGAATTATCATTTGGCAAATTTTAGAATAAAAAATCGAACCCCTAAGGGTCGGTTCAAGTTTGATCGATTTTGATTCTAGTTTGATTTATTTCAAATACTTAAGATATTATGCTTAAGATATTTATTTCAAATACACTATAGAACACAATGATCCATGGTGCAAGGTTGTGTGTTTGAATCACGTGGGGTTTAAACCCCCTCTTTTTTCTTTTTTTTACCGTTTAAAATATTTTGTCATCATAATTCTTAGCTTTTCGTTTTACTCATTTTACTTCACAAATAATAAATTTATTTACTTGACTCCTAATGAGATAAAATAACCAATGTATCGGTAACACAATAATTTTTTGTTGACACTGTTGCCTTAATCTACAAATTCTCATCATCAAATTTTTATATCAATATATTACCCAGATTATACAACTGTCTTCGAGTTCTGCAGAGAAATAGTAGTTCTCAACCTTTTTAACTTCTATAGAGAGCATATGAACACTACACCATGAATTTAGCACTTAGTTCTTGAATTAGAAACTAATCTCCAGCAATCTTTTATTTGGTTACCTTTCTGAAGTAATTGACTTTCCCACACCAATTTCTAAGACATCAGCATAAAAGAATCAGTACCTTTTGTTGTAGAAAAAATAAATAGAAGAACAATCACCAAATCAACGTGGAAGTTATACTCCAAGAAACTCCTGCAGAATTTAAATGGTCACAAATATAAAGTGATTAACTTGCAGTCAGCATGCAATAGGTTGCACTTTGTCTTAAGGAAGCACTTGCAATCCTAGTTTTCCACAACAACGTCGTGCTTTCCCTGCACAGCAACGACATAGGAATCATATTGAGCAATAAAATTCTCCTTGCGTAGCAGGAAAAGGAATTTGTTTCTGAACTTCTCTTCAGATAGCTTCACGAGAGATTGCAGGTTATGTCCTTTATCCAGCAATTTATTCTGATCAAGAAAATTCATAACTTCATATCGAGGTCTCAACCTCTTCTCCAAGCTATATGTAAGAAGCACAGGACGATAAATGATATATGTCAGCTCACAACCAGCTTCCTTCATCAGGAATGTCATCTTATCACATAAGTTCTTCTTTGAGAGATTCCAAATGGATGGATGCCTCCTGAATGCAGCAATGCAGTCTGGTTGGGACCACCCAAAGCTCATCAGGGTTGCAAAGGTAGCATCAAACCTGGACCTGCTCCGGGTCATGACTGCTAATAGTGCACGATGGAAGTTTTTACGGTCACGTGACACACCCAACTCCTCAACATGTTCGATAAATTCCTTGATACATTTTTCTGTCCGACAAAATAAACTTGGTTGTGTCACAACCATCTGCACGATGCATTGCTCACTGATGCCACATTCCCTCAAGAGAGATATATTGGGCTCAATCTTTCGAGCCAAGCTAGAAGTAAGGAGAAACATGCTCCTCCTGCAGGCTTTAATTAACCACTCATTAGAACCAAGAAGTGACCTCCAGAAGTCGATCCTCAGTTGGATGTCACGTAGAAGGAGCACCCTTGGACATGATGAAACCAGCTGAACTATTTCAGTGTCAGAAAATCCCATGTCCTGCAAAGATCTCATCCTGGGCTTCAGGATAGTCTCTACGTTAGCACGTAGAAACCCGGGTTCCCTCTGCATAAGCTTCATGACTTGTGCATCACTCCAACCACTCTGCTTAAAGAACTCAATAGAAGGACTTGAACTTGAAAGTTTTTTTTCACAGATGCGATCATCAGCCGTTTTTGCAGCCTCTTTTGAGGAAAGTTCACATGACTCAAGGGGGTCGACCAATGTAAAGTTGGATCTATGATTTGAACTGTGCTCTTTGGCAGTGGAAAAGCTAAACAGACTGCAGAGTTGATAGGAGGAAAGATGGATGTTGGACTTGTTACAAGAGAGAAGGCAAAAGAGCCTCTGCTGGACCGAAAACATTAGTCTTTTGAGGCAGTATCCCGCACTGTTTGCAGAAAAATACAAGAAAAGTAGTCTTGTTTATGCCCTCTCCAAGTCCAAATTCCTCTTCTACCTCAAATCAAGGATGTTGAAAACTTTCGACTAATCATCTGTCTCAGACAACATTCCTTTACCAATCATGTTAATCCACATGCATTTAGTTCCAATCAGCCATTTCTTTCAGAGATAAGTCTCTAAATGGTGTTTGAGAGTTGATAAAGAGTACCTATGATTAGTTACTTATTATCATGCTCACATCCGAGCAATTTTCCACCACTGAAATAATGGCATCAGACAACACCAGCGCACAGACACAATATTCCACTTATTTTTCCAATGTAGTTGGTGGGT